CCCCTTACCCACGGCAAAAAGGTTCCTCTACATAGCAAAAAAATTCGAAATTCGAAATATAATACTCCCTCCGGTCCTTAATTAACTTTACACTTTCCTTTTTGGGCAGTCCCATATTAAACTTTACACTTTCTTATTTGCCTTATTTGACAAACAAATCTACATCAAACAGTGCAAAACAGTGCCAAACAGTATCAAACAGTGCCAAACAGTGTACTCTACAGTAAAGTCAAGTTTATTTTCCTAATATGTGTGAAGTCAAACTGTAAAAAGTTTAATAAGGGACCGGAGGGAGTAAGTATTTTTTGCGGTTCCTCTACGACTGCAGCAAAAAGTATGAATTTTTGCTACTTTTTGTTGCGGTCGTAAAGGAACCGCAGCAAATACTTATAAATTTTGCTTATTTGCTGCGGTTTACATAAGAACCGCAACAATTGGGTAGCAGCAAATAAGGAAAATTCTAGTAGTGATACGCTTGTTATTCACTTGGTCCTTTCATAAGTAGTAAACTTAGATTATTAATGCATGCGTCTCATGGTTAATAATCTAAGAGGGAATAATTATATTGATTAAATAAAAAAACCGCTTGTGTTGAGGTTATTAATCTTAATTGATTTCATCAGATGAAAAACGAATAAATTAGATAGAATAACTGGACCTGAGTTTTTTGTTGTGACAGTCGAGAATACTCACCTCGGGTTACAAACTATCACTCTTAATTTATTTCATTAAATCGACACAATGCTACTATTAAAATCAACATATGGCGCTTGTTCTATATTGATGATTAATTAATAGTAAGGGTTATTAATGAACGCGTCTAATTATTAATAGCTATTCTAGATGAATTGAAATTTCTCCACAATTAACTATTCAAGAAGAATAATTAAAGTAGTAACAATGAGCAACGAGCATTTCACTTAGAGGAAATGAGCAAAACCAATGTTGATTACCTTTGATATTTTATTTCACTCTTTTAAGTATTTTATTTGCTTTCTCAATTATCAAAATATCCAATTCCCCCTTCCGTTTACTTTTATTTATTACGCTTACACATACGAGAAACGCACTTTTCCTTGTGGATACGAACTCTACTACGCTATACTACGGTATTAACCCTTAGTAGTGAATTTAATTTGAGGCACACTACGACAAAGTGCCATCAACTCCCATAGTTACTATGTCTTTTAGTGATGTTTATCAAAGTCATTTTTATTTCACAACAAAATGGCAAATCCTGACATTTAAACTTTAAGGTAAGTTTCTATATGTGGTTTTTTTGTTAAAATATTTCCTTTAACGGTGTCTTGGTTAAAACAAATTTCTATGATTTTTTTGTTACAATACTGGCTTTGGCAGGGTCTTGATTAAGACTATATTTGCATATTTGCTATGTCTTCTATTGATGTTTGTCAGTTTGAAGAAAACAAAGGTAAGGGTAGCATAGTAGCTTAGGATATAGAAGGGCCATCAAGACTTTACCAATATATAGAACAATAAGAATTTACAAATTTTTTCAGGAAAATTAATCATCAAGCTTGCAAACCCTTTTTCCCTTAAAATAAATGTAAAAACATGGTTGCTTGGTTTGGATACATGAGGCCTTTTTAATTAATGTTTTCTCTCTTTATCATCTTTTTCTTGAAGATTATTTTATAACCGTTGAAATTTTGTAGAACCGGAGATTTGACAAAAGGTCATCTTATTATCATTTCTTTACATCTTAGTGGTGATATTACACAAGGTAATTCTCACCTCAGATCAACAAAAGCATACAAAGAAACATCTTATAAATGAACTGAACTGTTGAATTGGGTCATCTTATACAAGTGAATAATCACAATAACTCAATGATCAATTGTGACAAAAAAGGAACATTAAGTATTAAGAATATCTCATTTAGAATATTTATTCTTAAGAATGCCTCTGCAAGGTTACCTTTATTTAGTTTACCTTTATTTATACAATTATGCTACTTTTGATATTAGGACTCCTAATTGTAAGAGGCTTTTTATTGGCAAGTAAGAAATGGGCTATTTCCATTTGTGTATTTATTAATAACTTAATGAAAGTTAATAATGACAGTAATCCTAGGATCAATTGTGATAAATAAGGATTGATTACGTATGCAAACAACTATTTTGAAGTATATGTTTTTAAGAAAGCCTTTGCTAATTTATCTTTTATTTACACCAATTTTAATTGATGGATAGTGTACCCGGGGTAGCTTATCTGAAGGGTTATTACGGCGAATAACTTAGAGAGAGGTCAGAGCAAGTGAGAGAGAGAGAGAGAGAGAGAGAGTATGTATTCGATATTGACTTGTCTGTCAATTACAATGGAAAATGGCCGCTATTTATAGTAGCCATAAATGCTAGGCAGGGACACGTGTCAAACATCTGACGGCCGAGGGTCACCTCAATCGAGGTGGCACCGGCATTTGCACGTGCACCACATTAAATGTGGTGGTTGGACGTGACACCACATTAAATGCGGTGGTTGCCTGCCTGTAAAAGGATTCTTCGTCGAGTGTGCTGTATACCGAAGGCATACGTGTGGCCAAAGGCATCATATGGCTGAAGACATCATGTAGCCGAAGGCATTACAAAGCCGAAGGCTATATACAGTCGAGGACATGGAATAGCCAATGGCTAACATTTTAGCCATAAATTTCCAGAAGTTTTGCAGGTCCACATCAAGTTGTGTCCTAGAATTTGGAGCCTTCGGCCATAGGGCCGAAGGCATCCACATGTGCATCGTGGGCTTCTTTATGCTTGGGCCGCTTTGTTTGGGCTCTGGATTGATGGGCCTGTGTAGGAGAAGTAGAAGTATGTGGGCCGGGGGTCCTCATCCATATACTCCATCAGGAGTCCCCCACTCCTTTTGCTGAGAGCTTCTTGAAGGAAATAGGAGTAAATGTTGTGAAGTCGTCGGTGGCTGCTTTGTCGTAGTTTGTAAAGTAGTGAACCATTTGCGTTTGCATGTTTCACCGAGGGCGGTCCCCCAGTCCCCCACATTTTGAGACTGAAGGCTTTTGTTGAGGAGCCGAGGGTGACGCCTCTTGCTTCACAATGGGGAGATGCCTCGTTAAAAACCTCATTAGGGAAAACCCTATGGGAAAAAATCCTAATGAGGGAAAAAGAGTACAACAGATGCCCCCAAAATGAAGCAAGAGGGGTGGACCCTTCAGCCTGTGATGAAGGATTATGCTGAGGCCGGGGTCATTCGTGATCTGTGGAGAGTGGCCCTGAGAGACCGAGGGCCGCATGTGACATGAGAGCGGCCACACTGGTTGAAGGCTGCTTGTGATCGAGGGCCGTTGGTGATCTGAGGGCGGCTCTCACTCCTTTTGCTGAAAGGTACTTGAGGGAAAAGGAGTAAATGTGCGCTATATAGGTCCGAGGGCATGTGTTGGCGAAGGGCGTAACAATATCTCATCAGCCAGAGGCTTCATGTTTAGCTGATGCGTGATCGCAAAAGGGTGGCAGCCGAGGACATTGTTGCAATGTGGTCGTTAAAATATAGCCGTTGGTGGTGGTGCCCACGTGGCATGCGTTTGTTGGCTGAAAGCGGGCGGGTGCCAACCATTGGCCAAAACCGCGGCCCGTAATGATGGGCATTTAACCGGAGGCCCATGACCCGAGGCTAACCGTGATTGGGGGGCCTATAAATACCCCAAGGCCGGATCCATTTCTTCTTACGCGTTTTATTGTTCGATCAATTTTTTCTAGAGAGAGAAAGCACCTGTTCGATCAAAACCAAACTTCCGAGGTCAGTTCTTCACCTATTCTTGAGTTTCCCTGCATATTTTGCTTTCTCCCTTTAGATCTAGTGTTTAGAGGCCTTAGGAAATCCGCTTTTTTCACATCTGCCCCACCGTAGATCCGAAGGATGTCCTCAACAAGCGATTCTCAAAATATCTCCAGGGAGGTTTCACTCTAGTCAGAGATCTATTCCGATGTAGAGTCCTCGAGCGAGCAGGTTTCGGCGCACAACAATTCTACTATGGCCGAGAGGGTTCAGGACAACCTCCGGACTGAAGTGGAGGCTGAAGAGTTCGAACAAGTGGTTGAGGACGAAGAGCTGGCCCTAGCCCTCCAAGTTGCCGAGGAGGAGGAGGAGAAGGAGAGGCAGAAGGTCACCATCGCTGTCCTTCCTCCGTGCAATGCCGGTGAGGCGAGTAGCTCCCGGACTCTCGACCCGGAACCTCTTAGCGTGGCCTCAAATAGGAAGAAGAAGAAGGTAAATGCTGCACCGAAGATAAAGCAGGCCGCTATTGACGTTGGGCAGCCGGTGGGTATCCCCGAAGGCCACTCGTATCTGGATACTGCTGCCCTGGAGGTGAAGACGAGGGCAACGCATGCTGAGTATCAAGCTACGCAGTTCTTCGCCGGCCCTTCGGCACACGTGGTGAAATCGGGGCCAGATGACGTATTGTTGCGCGGAATGCGCGCGCCCGAGGGCTGTTTTGCCGTCCACATCTTTTCGGTAGAATTGGGGCTTCGGTTTCCGCTCCACCCATTCTCGTTGGAGTACTTGAGGTTTGTGAAGCTGACCCCCTGTCAATTGACACCCAACAGCCACTCCTACGTGGCTGGCTTCCTTTCTCTATGCCGGAACTGGGGGGTCGAACCCACTTTAGACCAATTCTTCCTCTCGTTTAATCTCTACCGGGGGGGGGGGGGGGGGGGGGCATTCAAACACCGGAGGCTTTGCCAATTTGAAGCAAGTCCCGAAGTTAAGGCTATTCGACGATGTTCCTTCGTACCACAAAAGATGGAAGGATATGTTTTGTTATATCCGCATGGCGGAGAACCCCTTCCCTGCCCCTCTTCGTGATAGCTTCCGGAGGCACATGAAGGTAGAGAGCACTGCTCTCGAGAAGAATGGGAGGGAGCTGGCCAAGAAGCCGGAGGGGTCTGATAAGCATGTGACGATTAGATATGCCACCCTCCCGGATGAACTATACAATCTGAACTTCCACCGATACCGGCTGATGGGGGAGAAAGATGGATTAAAGATACCCCCCCATAGATTATGTTTGTGAGATTCCTCTTTTTGTACTTTGCGATTTTCTTGATTTCCTTGTGTTTTGTTATTTTAGTATAACACTTATATGTTTTTCTTTGTTTTGCAGGGGAGGCCATGGACGTGAGATATTTCGCCGGTCTAAAGAAGAAGTTGGCCAAGGAGTCAAAGAAGAAGGAGACGGGGACCCAAAAACCCGTCGACGAATTCTTCAAGAAGGATGGTGAGCCCTCATTGGCAGTTCCTACTGCCCTTGATGACGTCGAGGCCGGAGGCACCCAAGCCGCGGCTGCAAAGTGGAAAGCCGTAGTACCCGCCGGGAAGAAGCACAAAAAAGGGGATGCCGGGAAGAAGGCTACCCCGTTGTGATTGTTGAGGAGCACTCCTCTTCTGAGCCCCCGGTCATGACGGTGAAGACCTCTTCCAACCCCCTTTCGGAACAGATGGGTGAGGGGGCCTTGCCCCGGGAGAATGTACAGTTCTCCATCATAAAGGGGACTGCTATCATGCATGGCACCGTGGACCCAAAGGAATTCCTGATAGGTGCTACCCCTCAGTTGGATAAGGCAGCCCTCAGCCGGTATGAGGATGATGCCCTCGAGTCTAAGATCCTCCGTGCTTCTCTTACTGTAAGATTCCCCACATATTTTTGTCTCCTTAGTCAATTGTCCTTAGAACTCCGCCATGATATCATTTTTTGGTATCATGCCTGTCCCAAGCCAGGATAAAGGAGGAGGGTGCTGTGGTAGGCGTGTGACGGCCAACAGTATCACCTAGTCACATCACATTACATGAATCGAAATATGAAAATCGCTAATGCTAGGTCGTCACCCGTAAGTGACGCGTCATCCCTCCGCCTGGGGGTGGTGTCAAATATGCAAGGGCGCGCTACACTTGATAGACCTGGGTGTGGTGATAAGAATGCTAAGGTTGCTAGGTCGCCGCCCAGAAGCGGCGCGTCATCCCATTGCCCGAGGATGATGTCAAATATGCAAGGGCATGGTGGGGTCCGAGATGGGGCTAAGAACAGAAGGTGGAATGCTAGATTGCGTTTTGAGACATGGAATGTTGGGTCTCTTACAGGGAAATCTTCCGAGGTAGTCGAGGTTATGAGCAGAAGGAATATCAGCATTATGTGTGTGCAAGAAACTAAATGGGTTGGACAGAAAGCACGCGAGATTAATCCCGGAGGTTTTAAGTTGTGGTATTCGGGGAGAGATAAGACTAGAAATGGGGTAGGCATTATTGTGGCGCGTGACTATGTTGAGGATGTGGTAGAAGTCTTCAGGAAGAACGATCGCATCATGAGCATTAAATTGGTGATAAGAGGTGAGATTGTGTCTGTGGTAAGTGCCTATGCACCACAAGTGGGATTGGATGCATCTACAACTCAACAGTTCTGGGAAGATCTTGAAGACGTGGTGCGACGAGTGCCAAGGGGAGAGAAGTTGATCATAGGAGGTGACCTCAACGGGCATGTGGGCTCGAGTCGTGATGACTTTGAGAATATTAATGGCGGACATGGTTTTGGCACTAGGAATGAGGCGGGAAAGAACATTTTGGATTTTGCCTTGACGTATGAGTTGGCTATAATGAACACTTGGTTTAAGAAAAGAGACTATCACCTTGTAACCTATAAAAGTGGAGCTCATAGTACCCAAATTGACTACTTCTTAGTACGGACCACTGGGAGAACTAGCTACACTGATTGTAAGGTTATTCCAGGTGAGAGTGTTGTCACTCAGCATAGGTTGCTTGTGCTTGACTTTCGAGGTAAGAACCATAGAAGACAAGTTAAACAACAAGTGGAGCCAAAGATAAAGTGGTGGAGGCTAGAGGGAGATCTTCAACAAAGCTTTACACACAAAATGGTACTTATTGATAATAAAACACAGGTGGATGATGTGTGGTTATCCATGGAGTTGACCATTAACAAAGTGGCAAAGGAGGTACTTGGAGAATCTAAAGGATGTCGGCCACCTAAAAAGGACACATCTTGGTGGAATGATGAGGTGAAACAAGTCATAAGGAACAAAAGAGATTGCTACAAAAAGTTGGGGACAAATTGGAGTGATGAGAACATAGAAGCATACAGGAAGGCTAAAAGACAAGCAAAGAAAGCCGTAAGGGAAGCACGAGGGAAAGTGAACAAGGAGTTGTATGAAACGTTGAACTCTAAGGAAGGAGAACTAGATATTTATAGACTTGCTCGTCTTCGTGATCGCAGAACTCAAGATATTGCAAAAGTTAAGTGTGTGAAGGATGTTGATTAGAGGATATTAATGGACGACGGAGAGATAAAAGAGAGGTGGAGGTCATACTTTGATACACTATTCAACGGGAACAAAACGCAAGATATCGGCGATTTGTCCATACCAGATTGTATGGTTAACCGTGATTTTGTGAGAAGGATCCAAACAACGGAAGTTAAAGAAGCTCTGAGGAAGATGGGACGGAAAAGAGCAATGGGGCCAGATGGCATACCGATCGAGGCTTGGAGAAGTTTGGGAGAGAGAGGCGTCGAGTGGTTAACAAGTTTCTTCAACATGATTTGGAGAAACAACAAGATGCCAACGAGTTGGAGGAAGAGTACTCTTATCCCTTTATTTAAGAATAAAGGTGATGTATAAGAATGTGCCAACTATCGAGGGATTAAACTTATGAGTCACACCATGAAACTTTGGGAGTGAGTGATTGAGCAAAGACTTCGAAGGACTGTGAAGATTTCAGAGAATCAATTCGGTTTTATGCATGGTCGCTCAACAACTGAGGCTATTCACCTTCTTCGTCAACTTATGGAGAAGTATAGAGATGCTCATAAGGATCTGCATTTGGTGTTCATTGACTTAGAAAAGGCATATGATAGGGTACCTCGAGAAGTTCTTTGGTGGGCCTTAACTAGGAAAGACATATCACGCAAGTATATCAACATCATCATAGATATGTATGAGGATTGTACTACAAGTGTTCGTACTAGTGTAGGGAGGACTGAAGAGTTCCCTATTACTATCAGAGTGCACCAAGGATCGGCCTTGAGTCCTTTCTTATTTGTCATAGTCATGGATGAACTTACGAAGTCAATTCAAGACGATATACCGTGGTGCATGATGTTTGCCGACGATATTGTATTGATTGATGAGACGCAATCAGGTCTTAAAGCAAAGTTGGAAGTATGGCGACAAACATTGGAGAATAAGAGTTTCAAACTAAGTCGGAGCAAGACAGAGTACATGGAGTGCAAGTTTGGTGGAGGTAGAAGTAGTGATAGTAGCGGAATTACTCTGGATGGTAAGGAGATACCAGTCAGCGATATGTTCCGTTACTTGGGCTCCATAATTCAGAAGGACGGTGAGTTAGATGGAGATGTATCCCATAGAATCAGAACAGGGTGGATGAAGTGGAAGAGTGCGTCAGGATTTCTATGCGACCGAGGTATGCCGACTAGACTGGAGGGTAAATTTTATAGGACATCAATTAGGCCTGCATTACTGTATGGCGTAGAGTGTTGGGCGGTGAAACCATGTCACATTCAAAAGATGAGTGTGGCAGAGATGCGCATGCTGCGTTGGATGTGTGGGCATACTAGGAAGGACCGCGTGAGGAATGAGACAAACAGACAAAGGGTGGGAGTAGCACCTATTGAAGACAAGATGCGGGAGTCGCGCCTACGGTGGTTTGGTCATGTGCGTAGAAGACCGAGTGATGCACCTGTTAGGCGAGTTGAGATGTGTGGAGAAGAGGCAGGGAAGAGAGGGAGAGGAAGACCCAAACAGACGTGGGTTAAGGGAGTTCGAAGTGATATGCTTCTTCTGGGATTGGATGAGGGCATGACTTTGGAGAGAACTAAGTGGAGGGCGGGTATTCACGTGAAGGAGTGATCTTGATAATCTTTTTCTCTCATCTTTTTTTCCTAGTTTTTTTTATCCTTATATATATATATATATATATATATATATATATATATATATATATATATGCATTATTTGCAGCCTTTTTATTTTAACATTTCTATATATATTCATCTTTTTTATATGATCTTTTCATAATAGCTTATCTTTTTCTCTTTATTCCTTCTTTTCCTTTTGGTTGTGATATCATGTATCGATTCATGTTAGCCGACCCCAATATCTTTTGGGACTAAGGCTTGGATGTTGTTGTTGTTGTTGTAGTCAATTGTCCTTAGCCAATGTTCTAAAAGGCGATAGGCGCTAGTCGGGCGCTAGCCCAGCGCCTAGCGCCTATGTAACACCCCCTAATTTCCCACCCAAAAATACATTTAAATAACGATTTATTGGAAAGTATTATTAACTTTATTTGAAAACATCACAAAATGTGCAGCGGAAAATTCAAAGGGAAATAGGGGTGCTACCGCCACACTCGGTTCTCTCTTAACCGAGTGCACAGGCTAAAACAACTTAAACTTCAAAATCAAAAGCTCACTGATTAAAGTTATTGAAAACGAAATTTACAATGATTTACTAATAATGTTTTCTAGCGAAAGCTCTCTCTCGAAATCAACTTCAACATCGATCAACTCAACACCTTAACAAAAATCATGTACAGAAAGAAAAATAAAAGTAACAAACATTAGCAATAATGTTAAATAAGTCCCACCTAACTTTTTAAAATAATAATAATAGTATATATATAAATTCGTACAACCATTAGTATAAGAATATTTTCAAAACAATTTATAACTCATAAGCAAACGATATCTATACACAATCACAATCACATAACTCGTGAATCATAATAATTCCAAAATACATGAAACACCAAAATTTCGCCTCTATTGAATTTCTCCAAAAATCACTTTATAACTAACTTCCTAGTAATTTAGAAGGGCGGTGCTCAACACTTTGGTTGAGCCCGGTGATCCGTTGTTATGTACGGCCACCCTGGAACTATCGCCGGTACCACAACTGCTCCTTGGAAATGGAAACAACTACATAAAGTGTGCACACCCCCTAGAGGTATTCCAAGCCCTCCGGGTTAGTAAGTTGATCCGGGTAGTCGGGATGTTTTCTACCAACTACCCCACCTCAAAACCTGAATGATTAGGAGCTACTACTACCACTACTACTCAAAAGACGGGATGTTTTCTACCGACCGTCAATTCACCACAAACCAAAACCACCAAAAATTGAGTAGTAGTAGACCTAACCATCCTCCACATTTTAAGGGACGTGGAAAACCAACAACACGGATTTCTCCCGTGATGCTAACCTTTTATGAAAATATTTATTTTTCTCAAAATCAATCGAAGTTTATACTTCAAAAATTCCCTTTTCATCAAACTCCCACAAAGATAACAAATTACAAAATATCCCAAAATCATATACAATAACTCATATCAACAAAACAATATATCAACTAATATCTCAAATACAACCCTTTCATATAATAATATTCACTCACATTCAGCACACATAAATTCAATTCTTAAATATGCACACAAAATATTTAAAAGAAATCACGAAGAAAAAGTACTAATTTCGGTTGATGTGAAACTTACTTCAAATCGCGGTAACTCCTAACCGAAACTTCTATCTCGATCTTCTTCAAATTTTTGCTTCTAAAATATTAAAATTCTACTATTAGTAATTTACGTACTACGTACTTCTTAATAGATTAATTAGTCCAATTTATTTATCATTTCCATACTAGTAATATATTTTCATTTTAATTTTGATCGGCCAAGCAAAAAAATAAGCAACCCATTAACTTCTGGCCCATTCATATTTTAGTAAACCAACTCCGGTCTTAATAACGTAACGAGGAAAACGACGTACTTCTTCAAAGCCGGTGACTCGGCGAGCGTAGGATCCCTCCGGCGATGGGTGGTTCGTCCGGCAACTTCTTCACTCTGGCGAAGGCAGCGACATGGTCCTCCTTTCTCAGCAACTCTGCAACGACACTCCGGCATGAAACAGGGGTACGTACTGTGTACGCGAACTTCGGTCTATCCAGCGAATCAGCCGGAGGTGTGACAATCTTACAACGGCAGTCTTCTCAGGTGCTTCTCCTCCTCCGGCGTTACTTCCCTCTGTGAGAGGACGGTGGTCCATCGGCTTCTCCTTTGCCGGTGTGAACGGCTAGATGTTCCGGCAGCCTTGTAAGAACTCCCGGCGGTTGTGCGGCCAGTCCGGTTTGGTGACAGCAACTCACGGCGGCGCTTCCTCTCCAATGAAACTGACTGTTGACGTTCAAAGGAGATGGTGTAGTGTATATATGTATATGCGGTTAGGTGTGTATATTTATATACTTATAATCAGCACGCAGCAACGCAGGTTTTGTTTAGGGATTGTCGGGTATATATACTCAAAGGAGAAGGTTCTAGACTCTAGGGTTTCGGCCGTTTTTCTTTGATTCTGGCGGTGCACATGTAAAATATGGAGTATTGTATGTGTATCGGCTTAATTATTACTCCGTATTAAGTTAATAACGATTATTATGTTAATTATTAATATTAGTATCAGTCTTCTTGTAACGTAACACATACGTATGAACGGTTGTGCACAGTATCTTTACCATATGTATGTATGTTTTGTTACATCGTAAACATGTAACTTTTATTATTACTAAAGTTAAAGTTTTTGTTTGATCAACAAAATTACTACTTTAAAATGTCACTTTTATCATATATTAAAATTATCTAATTAACTATTTTATTTTATTTAAATTTTTGGAGTATCACAGCCTAGGCGGCTAAGCGGGCACCTAGTCGGGGACTAGTCGGAGACATAGAAATTACATTTGAATAAATATGATAAGTAATATTGTATTTTTGTGTGTATAAAATACATATGTACATATACATTAACAAACATGAAAGATAGAATTATCACATTTAATCATACATCGCATATGATAACTAATCACTTAACTTCATTATGTTACAAATATAAATAATGATAAAATTTAGGTATATATACAAACGTGTATAGTTTTATCTTAATTTACAACATCATTTCTTTATATCCATGGCTAAAGTTAAAGTATGTATATTGCTTGGAAAATTAAAATTTAAAAGTAAAGTAATGTTCGGCGAATCTAGACGGCCTAGGCGGCTGATTAGGCGCTCCAGGCGGGTAACTAGGCGCCCTAGGCAGCCGACTAATTCACCTAGACGGCAAACCAATTAGTCGAAGCGCCTAGACGAAAATTGGGGCGCCTGGCCACCGCCTAGCGCCTAGGTGGGGACTATTCGGGCGCCTAGAACGATTTTTAGAACAGAGGCCTTATCGTATTTTGCATAGTAGTCTAATCCTTATCGTTTGCTTGTCTGCTTATAGGCTTGCATCGGCCTCGGCGAGCAGATCCGAAGGGTTGAAAATTTGCGCCTCCAGAAGGTGCAATCTGACGAGACTTTAAAGAAGCTCGTCATGGAAAATGCTGCCGTTGTGAGGCAGATGGCTAGATTGGAGGAAACCCTCCGGCAGACCACCGAGGGATGGAGCAGAAGCTGGAGGCTGCCAGGAAAGAGGCCAGGGCCGAGGGCAAGGCCGAAGCTGAGAAGGCCGCTATCGAAGATGCCAAGACTGCTGCAGAGGAAGTCGAGGCAGTCAAGAAAGAGGTCATCGCCCAGACTGGGAGGGATGTCATTGCCACCTTCATCACTGATGGTTGGAAAGCCGAGGAGCAAAAGCAATGGTTGGCCTCGGTAGTGGAAGCCACCGTTGATGATTGGACTGGTGGCCCCGATGCTGAATGGTTAGCCTGGAAGGGTAAAGCTTACTATGACGGGGGGAGTTTTTCACCCAATCTCTTGTCTATGGGAGGTTTGCCAGACATCTTGGGGTGGATCCAAAGGAATTCAACCCGGCAGCCTATGACCTTCCCCCCCTTCAGCCAGACGTCTGAATCCCCCTCCCTCCGATGTCGAGAGGCCGGACCTTGAGGACTCCGTGCTGATGCAAGAAGGGCAGGATGATGAAGACGAGGCCGATGATGGTGCTATTTCGAAGGCTGTCCCGGAGGGTGTTGATAAATGATTGTACTTATAAATTTTTGAACTGCAATGTGTAATAACATTTCTTAGCTTCCGGATTCGACCATGATGTAACATTTACTTCTTATTTCTCTCGTGAATGGATACCTCTTTTGCCTTCTATTTTATTCGCTTCCTTGCCTGCGTGTACTTAGCTTCCTTCTTGATTTGCTTGCGTTGTGTGAATGAGTTGTGAGTCTTTCTCCGTTTTGATCAGGGGCCAATAGTTCAAGACTTAGGAATATTCAGTCACTTACTCAAAGTGTAGGCTTTTGACAATGCTTGATGCGCTGGGGGCCCTTAACTCATGGACTTAGATGAATTTCCATTGAGTTTTCAAATCAGTAGCCTCCTGCAGAAATGTAGGTTCTTATGTTTCCGACTCACTTGTAGAATAGGAGACCTCGATGCTGATAGTATTACTGGAGGCTGTAGGAATGTGGACTTAGTCGATTTTGAACTCATTCGTTAGCATGGTAGCCTTCGGTATTTGTGGGATACCGGGGGTCCTCGGTGCGGAGTGTACTGCCGGAGCCTGTAGGCCTGTGGACATAGAAACTTGTTACCCAACATATAAGAGTAGGCGCCCTCGGTACTTTGTTGAGATGCCGATGGGTGTAAAGTAGTAGCCTTCTGTGTTGGCTTCCAAAGTGTGGACTTAGCCACATTTAGCCCCTTTGTAGAATAGGAGCCTTCGGTGTTGACTCATGTGCCGAAGGCTTCCAAAGTGTGGATTTAGCCAATTTTCTCATCGATTGCTCATTGAGTCTACTCCCCCTCGCCCCATTTTTTTTGGATGATGGGGGGAGGCTTCAAGAAACTTGGTTTCTTGGGAAGACTCGGTCTATTTGGGAGGCAACGGAATAAACCGTTGGCTCCCCCCTTGGTGTTAACCTTTCGGGTTTCGAGGGGTTTGAGAGTCATTTCCTCGGCCCGAGACATAGTCTGTTGCCTACCTCTCCTTGGGGGATGGCGCAGAAAGTGTCTCGGTTTTGAAAGTCATTCCCTCAGCCCGAGACACAGTCGGTTGCCTGCTTCCCCTTAGGAGATAGCACGGGAAGCATTTCGTTTGTGAAAGTCGAATCCTGGGCCCGGGATATAGTCCGTTGCCTGCCATTCCCTTGGGGTAATGGCTCGGAAAGCGTTTCAAGGAAGGGTTTTATTTGCATATTAGTCGCAAATGGCCGGGGGGCACTTGGTGCCTCCGGGGCTGATAGGTGGCGCCTTCGATTTTTTTTTGGAGAGAAGGAGTATGAAGTTTGGGGTGGCGTAAAACACCTGGTGTTTTAACCGATGAGGCCATCACTGGTACTTGGTACCGAGGGCTTCGATATGTGTCGAAAACGCTTGGCGTTTCAATCGACGAAGGCCCTGCCGGTACTTGGTACCGAGGGCTTCATTATTTTTTAGCTGAACACACTTGGTGTTTTTTGTTCGCAGGTACAGTTGTCTTGTAAGTATTTCCCTGGTACTTGGTACCGGGGGTTTCGTACACGGGATAAAGCAAACTTTTGTTCATTAGAATGGTGGCCTTGGGCCGAGGGGTGCGTCCGAGGGCTTGGCCTCTCGTACATTGTATTACTGATAAAACTTTACCAAGTTGTTAGGTTCCCTAGATGTTGATTATCATATATTTATTTTGATGATGCCACCCCTTTTCAGAAATATCCCTGTAATAGACTAGAGCTTGTATTTGTTCTGCTACTGTTTATTGTAATGTGCTCTATAGTGATAAAGTACTCAACAAATAAAGAGAGTACTAAAAAGAGAAGAAATGTACCATAAAACAAAAAGAAAAAGAAACAAAAAGAAAAGGTACGAAAAGAGTCAACAGAAACACTTAAAGAATCAATACTTAAAATGATCATCTCATGATCTTTTGTTATGGTCATATCAGAGAACCTCAAACAGAAGAGGTGGTTCTCTAATTAACACCATGGGACAGAGGGAGTATGTAATTAAGCAGGAGGCTGAGCAGTGGCGTCAAATGAGGTTACTGCTGAGGATACTGATGGCAGACTACTTTATTTATTGAGACGTGTTAAGTGTGTGCTTTATTGACTGAAATAAAATCAACACATAGTATATCCTGGTTCAGAGGTGGTGTAATCCTCCTACGTCCAGTCCCACCCTCTTTCAGATGGATTTCCACTAAAGTGTTAAGCCCAATACACTTAGTGCCCAATCTAGCCTTTACAACTGAAACGGCGTAGATTGAAAGGTGTTTCAAAAGGTACTCTATCTATCTATCCACACTTAGGACTTGATAACACAATCCTTCTAAGTGTTTACAACAATGTCTTTGTAATTTGTTTCAAGAAAGTTTTGACCTCCAACTAGGAACTAAACTTCCAGAATATAGCAATGATGATTTGTAACTTGGAAGTTTAGTGAAGCATGAGTCCAAGTAGAGAGTAAAGTTTAGACAAGTATTTTCTCTTTTGCTAGATAGCTCGTATATGCTGAGTGAAAGTATTTCTCTACTTAGGATACTCCAGGCTTGGTTAGAAACTCTCGTTTTGGCCTATATTTATAGGATTTTCCGGTTGATTAATCTCATCCGTTGGTTAGGATGATTTAATCTTTGACGTTGATCGACTTGTACTTTTGTCTTCATGTGTTGGAGCATTTATTGAGGATGTCTTCATTTGTTGCCGCTGAGAAATCACTTTAAGATCATTTGGTGATTTTTTGTGTGCTTCCCACGTTCTGGACCTTATGTACTTGATTCAGCATTAACTGCCGGTCAAGTTTTGTCTTAAATCATATATATTTAATGTATATGATTTTTCGTACTTGTGCAACCTTATTTTTGTGACAATTTAATTTTTGTGTGCAAATAAATTTATACTGGTATGATTTAAATATCCTATAAAGGTAAATAAAAATTACCTTATTGCATTTTAAAATTTCCAGTATAATTTTATTAGTCTCAAAAATTGTACAATTATTTGTCACTTATGATTAAATTTAAATACTAATACTCGAAATGAATAAGACACAATGTCCAGGAGCCAAGTATAGTGGCATCATCAAAATCGTCCAAAATTGGCTACTAACACATAGCGTGTCATTCCAAACGTAAAAAGAGGAAGGTAGTCGACATCCTCCGTGGAAGACACCAGGAGCAGATAGTTGTTGCTGCCAAAAAGGGGGGAAATAGAAACAAACACATAGGATAATTTTTTCCATCATTTAGTGTTTTTAAGTGTTTATATTCTAGTTTTTGGCATCATCAAAAAGGGGGAAATTGTTAGGTCCCCTAGATTTTGATTATCATATATTTGTTTTGATGATGCCACCCCTTTTCAGAAATATCCCTCTAATAGACTAGAGCTTGTATTTGTTCTGCTACTGTTTATTGTAACATGCTCTATAGTGATAAAGTACTCAACAAAAACAGAGAGTACTAAAAAGAGAAGAAACGTACCATAAAACAAAAAGAAAAAGAAACAAAAATAAAAGGTATGAAAAGAGTCAACAGAAACCCTTAAAGAATCGATACTTAAAATGATCATCTCATGATCTTCTGTTATGGTCATATCAGAGAACCTCAAACAGAAGAGGTGGTTCTCTGATTAACACCATAACATAGAACCTCTATGGTCGTACCAGAGAACCTCAACAGAAGAGGTGGTTCTCTGTTGACACCAGAGTAGAAGACCTCATAGGTATTCTGATGAGGTATTCTGATTAAGTACTCGACATCTGCTATTCTTCTCTTAGCACCTCACAAGAAGACAGAAGACCCACTTGCAGTCAAAATGACAAAATGTATAGAAAATAATGTTACAAAAAATTATGTGATAACATTTCTTATAACATTATTTACTAAAATCAAGTAATCCTATCATGAGGAAGCATTGAACAACACTCGCACTAGATACTGAATTTCTACGAGCTAAAGAGATAAAGATAAATCATCTTATCTTTGCCTAGAAATGAGGAATCAAGTTGAGTGAGGATTAAATGATCCGTGTCACAAGAAGACAAGAATCAACCATGCTGCCCAGTCAAGTGGAACGAAGCAAGAAGATCAAGCAACGATCAAGATTGGATCACTCGGTCAACGGAGGAGATTCAACAACAAAGTCAATAAACCCAAAGCAAATGTGTGCAACTTGATCACGCCAAAGGTTCCTACTTCTAAGGCGCCTACAACTAATGCCGCGGCCTCAACTTCTACACCTAAGGCCACGACCCCTGCTGCCCAGGCCCCAAAACAGGCTGCCCAGGCCCCAAAACAGGCTGCCAGTGCCCAAAAACAAACTGCCGAGGCAGTAAAAGTTGCACCGAGGCTCACCGTTCCTAAACAAACTGCCGAGACATCAAAGGCATCTTCCGGGAGCAAATCAAGTGAAACGACTATCAATTTTCCGAAGAGTGGGAACATTAGCTTTGATGAATTGGGGGGTGAGATCATTCGCAATGTATATGATATCCAAGAGGGAGATGTGGTCACTAGAATCGCTTATGATGATAACAAAAAGAAGACCATATATGTAATGCAAAAGAAGGACATCCCATCGCATCACCAAATCAAGAGGCTTGGACCGGAACTACAAAAAGTGAGGGATGACGAGGGAGGAATCTCATTCACGGATGAATGCCTTCGAAAGCTTCCGGGAGTGACACCGCATTATGAATGGTATAAATTTAATCATAGCATTTTTTATACTTATGTGGCTTCTTTCTTTGATGTAACAACTAGGGAAAACAAGAAGTATTTCAAGGAGGCAATGAGGAGATTTGAAGCAATCAAAAAAATAAAGGAAGGGGCGAATAAGGAGGGCTGCCAATCCTCCAACGAATCGGTCTCGAATGAATTTTAAAGCAATAGTATGGAATGTGAGAGGTTTGAAAAAACCCTCCAAACACTCTACTATTTTAAATTTAGTTAAATTTCACCAAGCAAGCTTATGTTGTTTTTTAGAAACCAAAATGACAAAAATAAATATTTTTAATTTTGTCTCTAATAAATGGCCCGGTTGGTCTTTTGAAACAAACCATGATTTTATTGATGGGGGGCGAATTTTAGTGTGTTGGAATCCTAATTTAATATCATGCAATTTGATTGAAATGGGGGAACAATATATGCATTTTAAATGTCTATGCCGCACTTCGCAAACTGTTTTCTTTGCTACCTTTGTATACTCACTTTATACAGTCTTGAGGCGCAAGGCATTGTGGGAATACTTGGCTCTTCTTGGGGATCAAAT